AGATTAGAGCAGAAATAAATAAAATTGAGAAGAATAAACCAATAGAAAGAATCAATGAAAGCAGGACCTGGTTCTTCGAGAAAATAAACAAAATAGATAAATCCCTCACTAGACTTATCAAGAAAATAAGAGAGTCTACACACATAAACAGAAACAGAAAAGAGAAAGGAAAAATCACTAAGGACACAACAGAAATACAAAGAATTATGAGAGAATACTGTGAAAAATTATATGCTAACAAACTGGATAGCCTAGAAGAAATGGGCAACTTTCTAGAAAAATACAAATTTCAAAGGCTGACCCATGAAGAAATAGATAATCTGAACAGACCAATTACCAGCAAGGAAATTGAATTGGTAATCAAAAAAATTTCCAAAGAAAACCCCTGGACCAGATGGTTTCACTGCGGAATTTTATCAAACATTTAGTGAAGACCTCATGCCCATCCTCCTTAAAGTTTTCCAAAAAGTAAAAGAGGAAAGAACACTCCCAAACTCATTCTATGAGGCCAACATCACTCTAATACCAAAACCAGGCAAAGATACTACAAAAAAAGAAAATTACAGACCAATATTCCCATTGAACATAGATGCAAAAATACTCAAAACAAAATAATAGCAAACTGAATTCAAAAATACATCAAAAAGATCATCCATCATGATCAAGTAGGATTTATTCCAGGGAGTAAGGATGATACAACATTAGAAACTCCATCAACATCATCCACCACATAAACAAAAAGAGGGACAGAAACCACATGATCATCTCCATAGATGCTGAAAAAGCATTCGACAAAATTCAACATCCATTCATGATAAAAACTCTCAACAAAATGGGTATAGAGGGCAAGAACCTCAACATAATAAAGGCCATATATGACAAACCCACAGCCAACATTATACTTAACTGCGAGAAGCTGAAAACTTTTCCTTTAATATTGGGAACAAGACAAGGATGCCCACTCTCCCCACTTTTATTCAACATAGTTCTGGAGGTCCTCACCACAGCAATCAGACAACACAAAGAAACAAAAGGCATCCAGATTGGCATGGAAGAAGTTAAACTGTCCCTATTTGCAGATGACGTGATATTATAGATAAAAAACCCTAAAGAATCCACTCCAAAACTACTAGATCTAATATCTGAATTCAGTAAAGTTGGGGGATACAAAATTAATACACAGAAATCTGCTGCATTCCTATACACTAATGATGAACTAGCACAAAGAGAAATCAGGAAAACAATTCCATTTACAATTGCATCAAAAAGAATAAAATACCTAGGAAAAAACTTAACGAAGGAAGTGAAAGACCTATACTCTGAAAAGTACAAGACACTCCTGCTAGAAATTAAAGAAGATACCAATAAAAGGAAAAAACATCCCATGCTCATGGATAGGAAGAATTAATATTGTCAAAATGGTCATCCTGCCTAAAGCAATCTACAGATACAATGCAATTCCAACCAAAATACCAACAGCATTCTTCAATGAACTAGAGCAAATAGTTCTAAAATTCATATGGAAATACAAAAGACCCCAAATAGTCCAAGCAGTCCTGAGAAGGAAGAATAAAGTGGGGGGTATTTCACTCCCCTACTTCAAGCTTTACTACAAAGCCACAGTAATCAAGACAACTTGGTACTGGCACAAGAACAGATCCATAGACCAATGAAACAGACTAGAGAGCCCAGATACAAACCCAAGTATATATGGTCAATTAATATTCTCTAAAGGAGCCATGGATATACAATGGGGAAATGACAGCCTCTTCAACAACTCATGTTAGAAAAACTGGACAGCTACATGCAAGAGAATGAAACTGTATTATTTTCTAACCCCATACAAAAAAGTAAACTCAAAATGGATCAAAGACTTGAATGTAAGTCATGAAACCTTAAAACCCTTAGAAGGCAAAAATCTCTTGAATATAAACATGAGCAACTTTTTCCTGAATGCATCTCCTTGGGCAAGGGAAACAAAATAAAAAATGAACAAATGGGACTACATCATGCTAAAAATCTTCTGTCCAGCAAAGGACACTATCAGCAAAACAAAAAGGCATCCTACAGTATGGGGGAATATATTTACAAATGACATGTCTGACAAGGGGTTAACATACAAAATATATAAATAACTCACATGGCTCACCACCCAAAAAGCAAAAATGCTATTAAAAAATGGGCAGAGGATATGAACAGACACTTCTCTAAAAACAAATTCAGATAGCTGACAGGCACATGAAAAATTGCTTCACATCACTAATCATCAGGGAAATACAAATTAAAACCACAGTGAGGTATCACCTCACACCAGTTAGGGTGGTCAACATAGAAAAGACTAGGAACAACATATCCTGGCAAAGATATGGAAAAGGGGGAACCTTCGTACACTGCTGGTGGGAATGTAATCTAGTACAGCTATTGTGGAAAGCAGTACGGAGGTTCCTCAAAAAACTAAAAATAGGAAAACCATTTGACCCAAGAATTCCACTCCTAGGAATTTACTCTAAGAATGTAGGATCCCAGTTTCAAAAAGACAGATGCACCTCTATGTTTATCACAGCACTATTTACAATAGCCAAGAAATGGAAGCAACCTAAGTGTCCACCAGTAGATGAATGGATAAAGAAGATCTGGTACATATACACAATGGAATATTATTCAGCCGTAAGAAGAGAAAAAATCCTACCATTTGCAAGTACATGGATGGAGCTAGAGGGTATTATGCTCAGTGAAATAAGCCAGGCAGAGAAAGACAAGTATCAAATGATTTCATGTATCTGTGGAGCATAAGAACAAAGCAAAAGTTGAAGGAACAAAACAGCAGCAAATTCACAGAACCCAAGAATGGACTAACAGTTACCAAAGGGAAAGGGAATGGGGAGGGTAGGTGGGAAGGAAGGAAGAAGGAGAATAAGGGACATTACGATTAGCACACATAACGTAGTGGGGGCACCGGGAAGGCAGTATAGCACAGAGAAGACAAGTAGTGACTCTATAGCATTTTACTTCGCTGATGGACAGTGACTGTAATGGGGTGTGTGGTGGGGACTTAATAATGGGGGGAATCTAGTAACCACAATGTTGCTCATGTGATTGTAGGTGAATGATACCAACATAAAAAAACAAGAAGCAAAAAAAAAATGTTAAAAAATTGCTCACTCTGCTTCCTTTATGAGAGCAAGATATTGGAAAAAGACTGAAAAACTAAATGTAGAGAAATCAGAGAAATAAGGAATTAGTATGTAAAATGTTCATCTTTTAAATGGGGTACTATGATACCATGATGTCAAATAGTATATAATACAGCTGAAAGATGTTCTTACTACATTGAGGGAAGAGAATTTACAAAAATACTTATGTACTGAATTGTAGCATTTTAATTTTTGTATGACATTTTGTCAACTTGTGAACATAAAAAAGGAAGGGTTGGAAAGAAAAGACATATTATTAATTGGGTATAATAAGATTGTGGATGTTTGTATCTTGTTTTTGTTTTTCTATACTTTTTCATTAAAAATTCTAATTTATTGCTCTTCTAAAAACAAATTGTTATTAACCATTAGCCATTTTTTTATCACTGTCACTGCCTCTACAAAGCATAAACCATAGCAATGATTATAATATATATATATATATATATATATTACCTTTTTAATGAGTTTTTGCCACCTTCTTAAATCTTGCAACTGAGGCAGTTGCTTCTCTCATCTCACACCAGTTCCTGTCCCACTTCCCTGCAAATACACTCCTTACCCACCAACCTCCTGTAGTCCAAGTCCAGCCTGGTCATGACAGTATATTTGAAAAGACTTTCTTTGTGCATCTAATATAATCCCAGGTTTAGACCTACTACGCAAGAGAAGGAAAGCTTTAATGGTGTCATTTTTAGAGGACCCTTAGATTGATATTGATCCTCCAGAAATTTTCTGAGGTCCCTTTCAATAAGTAGTTCTAAGAAAGGTATGGTAGTTATCAAAGTTTTCAAAGGACAGAGAGCTTTTAAAACTAATTATACCTCTTCCTTGCCCTTTTTGCCTTCCTTAAGGGAGAGGGGGTGGGTAAAAAAGACTGAGAGAGGAAGGGCAAGGGCATTGGCACAGTTTGAAGTCATCTTGTGGTACTGGAATGTGCAGTGTTTGCTCAGAGGATGGGTAGATTTGGGTTCATGGCTCAGTGACTCATGTTATATTAAAGCCTGACTAGCACCATGAGTCTCAGTGATTTAGAATGACTTGAACATTTACATTTTCTAGAGGCCCCAGTGTAGTACAGCTGAAAGTGTAACTACAGTCTTCAGTGCAGTCTGGGTTCCTGGTCACTTCATTTCCTCAGAGTAAGATCCAGGATGAGTTGTTCTCCCTCTTTTAGGTTTCTGTGTATAGCATTAGAATTAGAGTCACACTGGGTTTGAAACCCAGCTCTTCTCTTAGTTTCTGTGTGGGTTTTGGCATCTCTCTGAACTTTAGTTTCCTCATTTGTAAAGTTACAGTAACAATTCCTCCTTCAACAGGTGCCCATATCTATGAAATGATATGACATCTAGAAGATGACATGACCTAACGTGTGATAGATATTCAACAACTGTGAATCATGAGTCTGTCTAAACTATGTCAAGCGTTGTTTGCACATTCCTAATTGGTTTATGCAAGGTGACAGATCAAGGAAGCATATTTTACATGCCTATTAGTTATTCTTAATCATATACAATATTAGAGATAATACATAAAAAGCAACTAGCACGATAAAATATTCTAGGGGTTCCGGACATGTAAATTTAAATATTAAAATATTTAATAATTCAATTTTTTCATTCAGCTGTAGCCTCAATCTCAAATGTAATGTCTAATAGACATGTAAAACATTAGCAGAATGGAGATCATTTAATTATTCTAGGAGAAATTTTATTTTAAAAAGAAAACAGAGTTAAATAAAAAGCCAAAACAATGTTTCTAGTGCTTGTGATTGAAGTTTGAAATGTTTTTATCTTTCCTGTTAAGGTACTAAATCAAACTTCTCGACTTGAAATACAACTGCTAGAGAATTCGTTATCAACATACAAGCTAGAGAAACAACTTCTTCAACAGACAAATGAAATCCTAAAAATTCATGAGAAAAACAGGTGAGGATTATTATATTCCTAAAATCTTTGTTTGTATTTACTTATATCTTCCACTTTTCTGTCAGCTCCTAAAAAAAAAAAGATTGAAGCTGTCTTCAAAAAATATAGACCCAAATTAATTTTTAATGTGAAAAGGAAGGAGAGCTTTAGGTGAATACAGCAGGTATGTCAACAGTAGTATTAGTACTGCTGCTTACACTCTTGAAATACTTGCTTTTTAAAACTTCTATCACTAATTTATCTAATGTTCAGTTATTCAGGTCCCACCATAGCCCCTAAAATTGATTCTGTGATGAAATTCACTGACACAAAATACTGACAATTTTCAGCAAAATCAACACTTACAGCAATAGAGAAAAGAATAAAGCCTCTGAAAGTGTAACTTGAATTATTTCTCTATCTGCTTTTAAGCTTCTGCAGAGCTATAAGTTTGTTATATTCAAAGGCCTTGCACTAGGGAGAAACAAAAAAATTTTTTTCCCAGAAAATTATACCTATAAAGTTGATTTAGAGTTTCCCCAACCCCGCATTTTTTAAAACCATTTACTCTGGGCTTATTACATTTCTTTGGTTAGCTTTATAGATGTGTTTTATGAACTATGAATCATCTCAGGTAAGTAGAATAGGACTGGATCTTGAAAGCTGGGATGACATATAGACAATATTATTTTGAAGTCTTTGACATTCATGACTTCTGTGTAGGACAAACGTATGTTAAGTGCATTTCTTCTGGATATTTGGATGGCTTGAAGTTTTAGTTCTTGTGTATTATATTGAGTTAAAGACCATCATGTTGCTAGAAATGAGTTGTCGTGTTGGTGCAGCTAGTTTCTACCATACCACAAACCAGGATGGCACCTAAGAGAACTGCTAGCTCTCTTACTTTACAGATGAGGGAACAGACTCAGTAGAAGTGAGTTACCTGTCCAAGATTACACAGCTTGTCAGTGACACAGCTGGGAATGTAACCCAGGTTTGTTTGTTTCTGGTCCTGCTCTTTCCGTCATAGCACATAGGCTCTCAATACTATCTACAACCTAGGATTTCCCAACTTTACACTAAAAGTAGACCTTAATGACAACAATTATAATTAAACTTTTACACGAAGAAGATAAACGTGACTGTTGGTTTAGAGTCTGAAAGGACTTACTCATGCTCTATGACTTGTATTTCTAAGTTTTACATTTATTTATCTTTGTACTGTGTCATGGGGTACACTGTTAAACTATAAATAAACTTGACAGGACTTGACCCTGAACTGGTTATATGATGAAATATTTTGGAGCTGAAAATCCTGCTGAACAGTACCAGTTGTCCTAGTACAGTTTCATAGTAACCAGACACATACACGGAACGGGTACACTTCTTCAACCATCCCTTAATTTAGGGTCCCACCATGCTTTAACTTTGTCACTAAAAGTGAACAATTTATAGTCATACATTTCAAGATGCTATTGTGAAGGCTTTGCCTAGGAAAGAATAAGTAAAACAATGTTAATTTTACCTTATTTTTTAAGTTGTTTTTATAATTACATAAATAACAAACATATTGTAGAAAAAGGAGAAAGTACACAGAAAATGAAAAACCACAATCCCATCACACTGAGAGCGTTGCATGTGTTGCTGGGTATTACATATGAAATGTATTTCTCACAACAGGTTGTGTCATGCTATACACACTGTTCTGCAGCCTGCTTTCTTTGGAGACAGATATCTTTACTAATCAATAATATCCCTCTAATATTCTTAATAACTGCCTTGTGTTTCATTTTATAGGTATAACTAACCTAGAGTGGTTTTAAACCATCTCTCACCAAGTATGTTATCCCATTTGATTTATTTCTTAAAAAGTTGTCAGCATGAATTTACATTCCTTAATTATTCCCCTGCTAATTTATGTTTTATCTCTTGGTCTGCATTTGACACTTTAGCTATCAGGATACCATAAAAAAAAAAAAACTGGGAGGCCAGAAAGGGCTCACTTGTAACTACAAACACAAATGTCCTCTGCTTTCTCTGTGTTTCCATGTCTCTGTCACTATCTTTCTCTCCCTCCTTCTCATATTAATTTTCTTTTTCTTCTTCTTTTGTTTATGTAAAAAATATGACCCTTCTACCCTAATTCTAGAGCATTTTGGATTTTTTGTCTTGCCTTCATAATTCTTGACATAGCTCATGGTATCATTTCCTACTATGGAATTCTCCCCGTAAAATGTTTTTTTTAAAAAGGGAAACTGCTTAGAAGTTGTTCTTTCTGTTCCATTAGTAAAATAAATCTAAGTCAACGTTTGAGCTCTCAAAAGAGCTTCACTGTGGGTCACAGTAGAAGGGGCTTCTCCATGTGTCACAGCCTCTCAGAGGAATCTGACTCCTGCTCCTGACCACATACATGCCTTCTGTTGATGAATTCTGTTCCCTTGTTAAATTCTAATTTCTAAGGAAAATTCAGGCTTTCTTACCTATGTAAAATCACACCATTTATTGCTAATGGTAATTTTTTTGGAACTATAACAATTCCCTTTCTCAGTAATACAGGTATTTCACAGTGAATTCAGGGATTCAGGTTTTAACTTGAAATTCATTTCTGTGCTTATGCTGACAGAAACTTACATGTATCTTTTACTCCTACTCTGTACCCCTTTCCTTTTTGACTCTCAAGTATGACATTAGTTTGCATGTGGATCCTGGGGGTATTTTTCTATCAATATGCTGTATCTCCTGGCATTGCCATATCTCTATATTTATCTGTGTCTTCCTGTTGAGGGGTCCAATGCATGTAATGGAGTGTTAGTGGAACATCTATTCTTAAACCAGGCATTCTTCCATGAACCACTTTAAAAAATTTAAAAGAAAGGGTTTATCTTTATA